TTGATTCTTGTTATTAACTCTTGTGCTATGGGTGTCCTATTGAGGAATTTGGAGCCCCACCCCACAATATGTAGATCGGAGCCAACTTTATCTTCTATCAGACGCAGAGTCTCTGATTTGATATCTAGCTCCTTGATCCACTTTGAGTTAACTTTTGTGCATGGTGAGAGGAGGGGATTACCGGACCTCATTTGTTGAATAACAGTTACTGTTAATTTCATTCTAAGTATAATCTAATTCTAAGACTTGGAGTCAGCTTGACAATTTCCCACAACATTATGATAATGACCATTAGTAAGCAGAAAGAATATGGAAAGGCAAGAATAATGAATAGAGAAAGTTGTAAGAGACAATGTGAAGTACTGGTGTGTAAGGAATGTTGTGTGTGGATTTAGAAGATAACTAGGAGGCTAAGTTTACATTGCCATAGGGAAATGGTATAGAAAGGTGGTGGAAATGTGTTGATAAAAGTAAAAATGCTCATTCATTCATTCACATTATTGAATATTTACTGTGTGCTTTGAGTCCTGGGAATTAATAAAAAAATAAACCAGACTGCTTAGCCTCTGGCCACATGGAGACTGTGATCAATGAAAATATAACTAACAAATGTTTATAACAGCAAAGAAAGGAAAGGATCATATGCTGTCACAGAGAAAAATGGGCAAAGTGAGGGCCTCAGGTAATCTGAATGGTCAGAAAAAGCCTCTTTGAGAAGCTGGCTGATAAACATGAGACTGAAGGATACTGAAGGAGTTGGCATTTGAATAATATGGGAAGAGCATTCCAAGCAGAGGGAACAGAATATGAAAAGATCCCAAGGCAGAAAAGAGCTGGGTGTGTTTTAAGCCAATATGAAGGAGCAAGGAGAGGAGCAAGAGGCAAGAAATGAGATGAAGAGATGCAGAGGCTTGAGATCCCACTAAGGCTGGGTTTATCTTAATTTTAAGTAGAGGAGTGAAAAGGCACAATCCACAACTTAAGGAAGAAGGGAGTCAAGTCAGGAAGTTATTACAGGTGTCGATGATGATCTCATAAATTAGGGTCATAGAGATAAAGAGAAGGGGGTTTATCAAAATAAGGACTGTAATCATAGTGCTTTCAGTCTGAGGAGACTTTAAATGGCATTTTGTCCAGTAGTTTTAATGTTTTAAGAGTTGAATTGATTTTCCAAATGAAATCTGGATAACTAAAACACATTGAAGCAGAAATTTGATGATTGATAGGTTAGCACTTTAGTTGTTTAACTTTCCTACTTTGACCCTACCATGCTATATGATTTTCCAAACATCTCTTTGTGAAACCATAGGCCCCAAGCTTCAATTCAAGAATCACTGATTTAATTTAACCCTATGCATTTACAAATGAGGTCATCCAGTCGTTGGTATCCCCAGTGCATTAGAGGAAAAGCAAATTGTTAACATGATAGTAAGAGAAAAGGCAAGTCAGTGGCCAACATAGAATGAATTAATTGGATGTAACACTTTATCCATCAACCAGATTTTTACTGACTTTCATGGTAAAGGAATGAAGACCCAATGTGAGGAAAGTGGAAAATGATATGGTTTAAATGTGAGGTGCTCCCCAAAAGCTCACATGTGAAACAATACAAGAAGGTTCAGAGAAAAAACGATGGGGTTATGATATCCTTAACCCAATCAGTGAATTAGTCATCCGATGGGATTAATTGGGTGGTGACCGAAGGCAGGTGGGGTGTGGCTGATGGAGGCCAGGCATTGGGGTCATGGCTTTGGGGTATATATTTGTATTTGCCAAGTGGAGATTTCACTCTCTGCTCCCTGGTTATCACGTGGGCTGCTTCCTTTCACCACACTCTACCTCCATGATGCCTCATCTCAAGCTCCGAGGAATGAAGCCTGCTGTCTATGGGCTGAGACCTCAAAAACTATAAGTCCCCCAATAAACTTTTTCTCCTCTACAGTTGTGCTGGTTGGGTCTTTCAGTCATAGCAGTGAAAAAGCTGACTAAAATAGAAAACTAATTTTTTTTCCCCTAGAATCCTGGTGGAGAATACCCATTTTGCTCACTTTATACATATATCAGGTAGCTATTGTCACAATAATACTATGTAACAAAGAACCACAAAATCTTAATGGCATTCAAACATAAGCACTTATTTATTCTGTGCTTGTAGATCAGCTGGGTGACTCCCTTCCTCACTGCAGGGTGAGCGCAGTTTTGCTGTGTGTTGCTCATGGTCTTGTGGCAAACGCTGAAGAACAAGAGGGCAAGCAGAAATCATGATGTCACATAAGTTGTTGGAGTGGAACCAGGAAAACTTTTTGACTGCTGTCTGTTTGTCCAAAGCAAGTTTGGGGTTCTATCCAAAGAGGTATAAAAATATATGTGACTCTTTTGAAAAGAAACTTCAGTTATCTGATAAAGGGCATGAGCACAAGGAAGAGTAGTAAATAATTAGGACCAAACATTCACTGCAAGAAATTCTCATCTTGATAGAAAACTTTTTTTAAAAAACCTCCCTTTGGAAAATTCTATTTTTTGTCTCTTTAAATTCTATAAAATTTAGGCATCTTTTTGGTATGTCTTTCTTATTGCCTTAGCTTATATTCTTCCTATAGACTTATCAATAAAATATCTGAATTCTTCAATTTGAGATGAAATGGCTATGTTAGTTTTTGAATTAGAATATAAGTGTCTTAGCTGGATTTAGTACTGCACATTTATAATCCCAGTGGCTCAGGAAGCTGAAGCAAGAGGATCCCAAGTACAAAGCCTCAGCAACTTAGCAAGGCCCTGTCTGAAAATAAAATATAAGAAAGGATTGTGGATGTGGCTCAGTGGTTCAGTGCCTCTGGGTTCAATTCCCAGTACTAAAAACAAAGAATATTAGTGTCTCTTGAGGGCAGTACATGTGGATTCCCCATAAAGGGGAATGACAATTCTGCTTATAGACATCA